CAATGTAGGTAGAGGTAGGAGGAGCACGTGGTCATAAACCATATGACAAGTCAGTTCTACAACCACATGCGACGTCTCTTGTAGGCCCCAAAAGCACAAGAAACTCGATGTTACTCCAGTGTACTTTCTTTAAAGTTGTGGCAAGAAATTAGGATACAATGCCTCAAACCGTTGTGATTACCTTATACCGTACAAATTTACAAATTTTACTTATTAATTGTATGATTTAAAAATTATATTAAACTTGATGTTATAATGGTTATTTTTTGGAATTATATCCTAATTGATTACTGTGATATGGGGAATTGAATAATATACTATCCCCGTTCTTAAATAAATGTAACAGTCAATTTTTCGCTTTTGCCAACACACAACTTTGACCATTTGTATATTTTATTCTTTTTTAATAAAAAAATTAAAAAATTCAAATTTTAAAATTTAGGATGAAACAAATTTAACAATATATTTTTTAAAATAAATTATTAATACATTAAAACATAAAACTTATTTAAAGTACAACATATGAATAGTGTAAAATTTTACATGTTTCATTTATTTAAGAATGGAGGCAATAACCTCTTATATAATCTTCAACATGGTATCCTCAGTCGGCTAGACAATATCAGCATGTATAAATTGGTCAAACATACCTTAACGAGTTACCCTTAATCTAGACATCAATTATGCCACAATCGGAGTTAACTCTAATATCATGTTACTATTTGAAATTACATCTAAAAAGGAGAATTTGATATGAGGAATAGCACAAAATCTTAATTACTCACTAGTATTGTAGTACTATGTAAAAATATAATGGCGAATATATTATCAAATAAATGTTGTGGATAAAAAATGTGATTTTTGTCTAATAATTTTCAGCCTGTTATACTTTATTTTTTGTGATTCAGCTACTACAGGAGGAAAGGCACAGGAAGCACCACGGCCCCATCCTAGAACAGTACCGTTCTAAAGCCGAACATTACATATGTTCATGCCTCAACAAAAACATCGCCGGCAGCAACATCGGACGCACTCCGTCCGGCCTCATATTCGTCCGGCAATGGAACAACATGCAGCACGTGTCGATGGCCGCCTTTCTTCTCACATTGCACTCCGATTTCCTCAAGAACTCCGGCCAGAACCTGAGTTGTCCCGCCGGAGCGGCCGTTGGCCACGAGGAGCTCCTCCGGTTCGCCAGATCACAAGTGGACTACATATTGGGCTCAAATCCGAGAAACATGAGCTACCTGGTGGGCTTTGGCCCAAACTATCCCAAGAGAGTCCACCATAGGGGGTCATCCATCGTATCTTTCAAGGAAGATCAGAGGTTCATAGGGTGCACCCAGGGGTACGATGACTGGTACGGCCGTGACGCGCCCAACCCTAACGTTGTGCATGGGGCGTTGGTCGGCGGACCGGATCAGAATGACGAGTTTGATGATGAGAGACATAACTATATGCAGACGGAGGCGTGTACGTACAACACCGCGCCGCTCGTCGCCGTTTTTGCTAAGTTTAATTGCTTGAATAATAGTTGTAATAACCGAACCTCAACTGCCTCGTTTTGAAGTACAGAAGGCACCATAATTTACACAAATATACCTACCTATAGTTCAATAAATATATTAAACATTTTCAAATGTATTTTCAAATGCATACCCGTTTTTCGTCGCAATCCAAAAAGGTGTAATCGCCCACCGTCACACCCCGACCTGATGGACGGTGGGCGATTACACCTTTTTGGATTGTGACGAAAAAATGGGTGGATACCCGTTTCTTCACAATGTGCCTATGTGTACACAAAGTAATGTATGCTGTGAAGTTTCCTTCTCACGCTTCTCAATAGCATGCATGAAGCAAGGGATTGGCATATTTTAAACGTTGTGGATTATGCTTTACATGAGGAATCAGTACTATCTGTTATTCCTCACCTGCCTTGTGCCAAAGTGCGATAAACTGCAGGCCAGAACATGACTCATTATTCCATCATACTGTGACTAAATTTCACAATCTTCATCCTACCATATGTTTTTACTTGGACTCTAATTCGTCCCAGACCAGTTCAGACCAGACCAGACTTGGATAGTTATAAAAATATAAAGAAACCAGACCAGACCGGCAAATTACAGTCCAAGTAAAAACATCCTAACTTACTGGCCGGTTTTAAAAGACATACTCCCTTCATCCCGAAATAAATGTCCTACTTTCCTTTTCGGTCCATCCCAAAATAATTATTTTGTTTCCTCTTTTGGCAATAATGGGTGGGTCATATCAATTCATCTTTTTCTACTCAAATCTCAACAACAACTTTTACCTTTTCAACCACTTTCTTAAAACTTGTGCAAAAGCAAACAAGACGTTTATTCTGGGACGGAGGGAGTACATCCGGATGGGGTGTCGTCACTTTTGGAAAAACACTTTCTAGTCCATGTCTAATTCAGTACAAGCAGTCTGAGTCCGAAGATCGAGTCAATTACAGTCCAGTTTCAGTTCTAGATTTCAGTTTGTTTGTTAAAAAACAAGACCAATCCTATATTGTAGGAAGCAATGAAATTATTTTGGATCAATTAGAGCTGGAAGTAGGACTGAATCTGATATCACTGAACCGAGTAGGTACTAAGAACAAGTTGGCCCAGGTCGACTACAGGGAGTCTGGGACTAGTCATAGACTCATAGCCAATCCTATGTTCGTGTAGATTTGAACCCTAATATTGACACTAATAAGTACATCTTGACCATCTCTTAACATGGGAAAAAAGTCATGTTCATTCCCATATCTTAAAACTGGCCTAGGTGCTAGGCGTGGACCAGACCAGAATCAATTTGGCTTGGATTGGTCCAAAACTAATACCCAAAATTGGCCTGACCCAGCACTACTAGGCATGGACCCGGTCAGGTTCAATTACAGACTGGCCACTTCAAAAGGGTGGATATCTGGAACCGAGACTGGCCCCGATCTCAATCTGATCCCGATTTTTTTATTTTATTTTTTCATTTTTTATACTCCCTCCGTCCCTGAATTATCTTCAAACTTTCCTTTTTCATACGTCCCAAAATTATCTTCTCCTTCCTTTTTTGACAAAGAATTTGTGGTTCACAATCATTCTTACACATTCTTACACATTTCTCTCTCCTCTGCACAACTCTCCACCACACAAAACCCACTATCTTAATTACTGTGCCCAGTCAAAATGGGAGAAAAAATAGGGACAGAGGGAGTATGTTATTAAACCTTCCGGACACCCTCCCCACTTTGTTTTAGCTTCCAAATGAATTTAATCTCTTTTAAAATGCCTCTCAGGCTCTACGCTTTGAAATGAAAAAATGAACAGGGACCATATTGGCCAAATCCAATCCACAAATACCATAATCGAGACCGGCAATAGTAGGGGACAAGTCCAGCGCTGCTTCCAAGATCGAACCGGAAAAACTGGTTATAGTCCTATCTTAGGAACCACACGGTTACGATCCAGATCGGTCCAAGTCCGTGGACAGGGTGCAATCTTACCCAGTACGGTCCTAGTACAGATCATGTTTTTTCAAGTAGATCGCAAAACCAGACAAAAATCAGTTTTTAACCGAACCATTATAAGGTTGAGAGCAAAATTGGTCCTTACCGGGAAATTCCGATCCCAATCTCAGCCTCTCAGGTAGGGGTGGACTCAACTGGGCTGAACCGGCCCAGGAACCAGCTTGGCCCGGTACTGTTCGGGTCCGGACCGGACCGATTGGGGAGTGCGGTTCTGAGCTTTAGCACGGTTTGGGTGGTTTGGACGGGCCAGGCTCAGGCGGTCCGGGCCGGTCAATTTTTTTTTTTCAATTTTTTTCTTTTTCCTTGGATAGGGCTGGGTGTTTTTTTTTTGGGGGGGGGGGGGTTGAGGGGTGGGGGTGAGGGGGTGAGGGGATTAATTAGAAAGCCAAAAAAATTTACATTGAACTGGGCCCTGCCCGGCCGGTTCCCCTTTTCCCTTACCCGTGCCCGGAACCGGTAGACCCCCCGAGCCTAGGCCCAAACCGGAACCAGACCCGGTTTCCCGGGCCGGGCCGGGCCCGCACAGTAGCGGGCCGGACAGGTTCCCGAGCCGGTTCCCAGGCCAGGTGGCCCGCACCGAGTCCAAGCCTAATTGAAATCAAAAGTTACGTGCTTAGTGAAAAAGCTGACTAAAATTGGAGACTCTCTAAGGAAAAGTGTAAAGTAAATGTATTTTCTTACTTGAACAGACGGAGTTGTCTCATTTTTCTTCTTACATCTTTATTAATTTATAAGAAATCAAATCTGCATACCCGGTTGTATGGTTGGACTCGGGCCGGGTGGCCCGACCCGGAACCGGCCCGGCCCTAACCGGTGGCCCGGTCAGTGAATGGTCCGGGTAGGCCCGACCCGGTGGATTTCCGGTCCGGGCTCGGGTCACCCATAACAAGGCCCAGCCCGGCGGGGCCCGAGCCCGGTTTGGGCCAAATTTATTTTTTTTTTGGTTTTTTTCATTTGTTTGGGCTCCACCAGGTTGGGCTTGATGTTTAGGAGGGGTTTGGGGGTGGGGGGGGTGGGGGTGAGGGGGGGGGTCAGGGATGGGTAGCTAAGCAAAAAAAAAAATAACCAAACCTGAGGCCCGGCCCGGACCGGACCCGGTGGCTACCCGGGCCCGACCCGGCCCGAGTCCAACCATACCCGGTTGTTTTCCACTCCACTAATTTTATGCACATATGTAGGTTTTCTATTTTTTTCCCAGATGTATTTCATGTACTCCCTCCGTGCCAAAAACAACTTCCCACTTTCCTTAAATGGATGTCCCAAAATTAACTTCACACTTCTTTCCACTTCCTTATTTGGCAAATTATCTACATCAAAACACTGCCAAACAGTGCTACACAGTGTCCAAACATTAAAACTTACCCGCCAGTAAGTTTATTTCCTTAATATGTGTGCTAGTCAAACTGTGAAGTTGTTTTTGGGACGGAGGGAGTATTTATTAAGAGAACTCTGGGTGGGCTAGGCTAGGTTGTTTTGAACCAAAAATTGGAGTATTTATCAGTTTAAAATCTCAGTCTAGCTACACACAAACCACTAGTATTATTACAAAGAAAATGGTACAGAAAAATAGGTTAATAGTTTTTTGAAAAGCCCAGTATGATCAGCACTGTACAGTTCCACAACACAACAGCAAAATACATACTAAGCTTTTCCAAGAAAGAGATGAACCAGCCCTCCTAGCAACAAAGCTTAATCAGTTTTCTTTCTGCGCTTTGCCTCCGCCTAGCATAAAGATTATGAAATTAGATCAGCGACCTACCATAATCTAAAAATAAAGTGAGGATAAAAAAGCACATATGGATAAACACACATACAGAGAGGATTCACCGACGAATTTTACTTGTCTTAGATGCCATTTATCATCATACCAATTCTTCTTCCTTCGTCTATTAGCTTTCATGTGGACAAACATATGTTCATTTTTAATTTTGAACAAGAAAGGGACCAAAAATTAATAAATGGACTGAATCACCCCTAATTAAAAAGATGAGCACTGAACAGCCGGTCTCCATGCCTTGCTCATTGTCCACGCAACTGCTCCTATCTCCCCAGGCTCATCTTCTGTGAAATCTCTCCCTGGCTCATGTTCTCCACCGCCTCACCATCTCCACCCCCAAAAACCACTCCATAGCCACTACCAAATCCGTTGCACTCGTACCCACCTGAGCTCTGGTCATTGCTAGCAGCGGTGTTCTGGCTATTGCGAGCAGCAGAGGCGGCCCTTTTGATGATAGCGTGCAGAGCTGTCCTGGCTACAGCTCACGGATCAGACTTTTGTCCCTCCTGGTGATGGCCTTGTAGCTATGGTGAGAGACAAGTGGTGGCACATCTAGGATTTACAGTGAAAGGGATGGAGGGAGGCACGGCTAGGGTTACAAAATGATGGCGGGCGGCGTCACAACTTCGGTTACAAGGGCGGCGGCGGGCAGCAGCTATGGTTACAGGACGAGATTAGTGACGGCCTGGGTTTCATCACCTTCTTCAATTCGTTCCTTTTTTGTTTATTGGATTCTACATGGTTGAGGTCACTGTATGGGAAGAGCAGTGACTCTGGTCAATGATCCACTGGTGAAAGTTTTTAGGTGTCACTGTTTGTAATTGAAAAAACCAGTCACTGTGTTGTTGGAAATAGGTCATTGGGACTGTGGTGTGACTGTCACTGGACAATGGGTCACTGTAATGGTCATCGGGAAAATAAATCACTGTGGCGTCGGGTGGTGGTCACTATGATCGGATGTTGGTCACTGTGACCGGCGGTAGTGGCATTGGTCACTGTTACCGGTGATGGCATTGTTCACTGTGGGACATTGGTCACTGTGGGACATTGGTCACTGTGACCCTGGGTCAACTGGGCCAGATGGAATAAAGGGGTATAATGGCCCTCTTAATCATTATTAGTCTCTTTTTTGGAAATTTAAAAAGGTCTTTTTTTATCCATTAGTTAGTTTTTAATATTATTCTTGTCTTAACCCCAATTCCCGGTAATACCATAAACAGCCACTTTAAAATACTACCAGTTTTCATTTTTAGTTTCTCCACACTCTATTTATGGAAGCTTATTACAACTTGATTTACTTTCAATTCTGAAAACAACCATCATTGTCAAGCCATAAATATGTTTACTTCTTCCTAATTTTTTATCTACTCTTCCGCATTTTTCACCCTTTCTGTAGTATCCACAACATGTGCTTTTACTCTTAGGTTCTGTAAATATTCTACATGCACAGTTTACTGAATGGAAGGAGATTTAAGATCATTGTAAGGTATGTCAAAATATCATACTACATATTATATTATTTCATCATAATACTAAAAGTCTAAAACTAGCTTTCAAGAACTGGAGAAGTTTCTCGTGACATACCGTTGTTGCACCAATTAAATTGAAATCCAATTACAGGTTTACTCTGAAGAGAAAACTGACGGTAAAGAATGGAAAACTGCACTAACCTGCGGTGATACATGAAATGAATTCATTTGTTCTCTAGCCTCTTCTTCACCTGAGCAGTCTGAACACACAAAATGCTCCAACTTCTTTATTTCATCAATGGACGAGCCCATACAAGAAGGATGAAACCTACAGGTTTACTAGTCATATTAAATATGAAGAACATAACTTGCATTAGCTCAATATACAATAGAACTCAAACATTTATGAACTAAGACACTTTGAAAGGCTATGACTATATTATCTTCACAAATACTGAAGGAATAACATAAAAGCTATCATCAAGCATTTTAGTGACCCTTAATTCATTTTTAAGAATGTTTTATGTATCAAGAATATACTAAGCCCCCAAAAGTCTTCCCCTCTAAAACCCTCCATCTAAATTGGTTCTCATGTTTGATACAGTCATAATAGACTCAAACCCTCCATAAAGAACATAAAATATGTTACATGAGATCTCATATCTTCATTTTATAATAGATGCAGTTATGTTTTGTTTTTTAAATTTGAACTGCAGTAACAAATATGTAACCTTAAATAAGAATTCTCGAGGGGAAAAACAAATTATTACTCAAGTAGTAGCCCTTCTTCAGCTTCAGTATGTATTCTTTCTCAATATATTGTCAGTATCATGTACATTCTTTTTGGGAATCCTCCTTTACAATCTAATTAAGCGATTCAGCACTTATTTCCAAGAATTATATCCCGTATAGTAGGACAATCTACGTGAGCAAATGATGTATCTTAAAAGAGCCAGAACATGATGTAATTTCAATCCTCAAATCCACAAATTCACAGTCAAGTGATATGGGACTGCAGACCAAAGGTGACTTGTATCAAGTTAAATGAAAAATCCCACGTATCACTCATTTAATTACTGTTTACTACAGATTAGGTCATTCACTAACTTTTCAATTTGATGTTATTGGTGATGCTACTGCTGCCGAGTGACTGGTCATGTTATCTACTACCACTAGTAAGAATAACAACAGAAGAGTTAATGCATATGGTACTTCATTCACTGCCAACTATCCCAATAAATGTGATAAGATAAGTTTCATTTTTATCATTAAGTAATAAATAAAGTGTGTTTTGTTCCCCACTTTTAATGATGGTTAGAACCTTAGAGAACATCCTGTACTTTCTTCCCCATTTTCACTAAAAAGCAGTGAACCAATGAAAATTACAGAAGTTTTTGAGTTGTCCAGTCTGGCAATCAAAGATGTAAAGAAAAAATATAAATCAAATGAAGCTCATACCAGTCAGCGCATCCTTCACACTGAACCATGAGATCATCAGGATTATAGGGCATCTCACACTTGCAATACCTTCAGAGAAACAACAAGATTAGCCACTGCGGTAACATTGCCTCGAGTTCTAGTTACAGGGCATTTGGTTTAGGTAATAAAGGTAATGTGTAATATTACCTTGTTTGTTCAAGTTTTTATAACAATGATCTGAAATCACTCCATGTAGGAAAACTACATAGGGGGTAATCTGATTACATCGTTATATTACTTTGGTACAGAGTAATATTAAGAACTATTGAAATAGGTCCCAAGCTATTTAATGACATACAAATAAATCGTATTCCTTATTCCATAATTTGCAATGGAGCCAAACACCCACTATTTTTTGGCTTGGGAATATGATGGAATAAAGAAAAATGGCTCACTAAACTGTTTGCGCTTCTTTGTTATGAAGCAGTAGTCAGTCCATACAATTTTCGACGCGATTTTCTCCTTGGGTCATCCGGACACGGTCTCTGTGCTTTAGCACGGGGGTAAGGTTGCGTACATCCGACTCCCCTTACCCCACCGTAGGTGGGAGCCTTTGCGTCACGAGGTAATGATGATGATGATGATGATGATGATGAAGTAAATCGTATTCCATGAATCAATTTGCATAATTTGCAAAGAATATAAGATTATACTCCCTCCATCCGGAAATAATTTGCAAAGACTACTTTTCTTGGTCAACACAGTTTCATTTTATTTACTTTTCTGATTAGGACTTTGTGACTATCGAACTTCTGTTGTAGTTTTTGAATAAGTAATATGTAATTACTAAAACTTATTTAACTATCATCAGTCACCCTTAAAAACCGCAAATTGCAAATTAATTTGGGTTGGAGGAAGTATTCAGTGAGATGATTACCTTCAGGAAGATAATGAACGCCTACATGATGTGTTTGGTAAGATAACACATATGTAATATTAATCTGTTTAAAAAACTGTTCGAAAGCAAACAAAACAATACCTAATTTACAGTCCTACATAATATATTACCAAGTTAGTCTTACCCAACATTACTTCAATTTCTTATGTTAGGATCATCTCATATTACCCCAGTAATTTGAACATCTGAACAAATCAAAGTAATTTCTCATAACCTACCTCTAAATCTCTAGAATTCGAACCAAAAAGGTAATCTGACATTACCACCTGATCATTACCAAGATAATCATTGATTACACAAACCAAATGCCCCATGTAATCTTACAGTCCCGTAAGCTCACATTTCATTCCATATGGCAATGCCAATGTTATTTCATAAGGATATCTTAGGACCTGTGATTCTGTGAACCAAATGTTCCCTTGGTGTAACCAGTTCTAACTTCTAATTAGTAGTCTGAAGAAAACAAAAGGATGAGAAACTCACACAGCAACACGATCAGGGGTGAACCCGCCGGTGGCAGTTTTGTACTCAAACCTACAGTAGTAATCCTCAGGGCCCACGTTATCCAGTTTTGTATAGTTCTTAAAAGAATGCACCGAACACTTTCCTTCTATGGTTTGAGCACTTTGCACATCATAGTGGTCCGAAAGGAACAGTTCCTTAGCCCCGTGAAACTGTCTACGTCCACCCTTTGACTCCTCCGGCCGGTAGTACCACCTCACTCTTACTTTCACATTGTTCCGGTGGTCAGCTTCAAACTTCTCAACTCTTGCCACATAAGGGAGGTTGTCAGAATCTGATGGTCTCATTAGGACAGAATCTCCGGCTGCAAAGGAATCCATTTTTAGCTTCTAATGATATTTAGAAGGCATTTTGGGGTAAAATGTAAAACACAACCTACCTTAATCAAAAGAACTCATGTACTCGTGTTAGCTCCAAACAATACATGATGCAGGTAAGGAATATAAGATGTATCAATGAAAGTAGAATAAGCATAAAAAAATACAACAAAAAAGAAGCACCAGAAGCATGCATATGACCAACACATATGCTAACATACTCATACTACCTCCGTTTTTAAATAAATGTAACAATCAACTTTTCACGTTTGCCAATGCACAACTTTGACCATTGGTATGTTTTATTCTTTTTTAATATAAAATTAAAACATTCAGATTTTTAAATTTAGGATGAAACAAATTTAACAATATATTTTTAAAAATAAATTATTAATACATTAATTAATAAAACGTAGTCAAAGTAGAACATGTGAATAGTGTAAAATTCCACATGTTGCATTTATTTAAGAATGGAGGTAGTATTTATTAATAATTTTATGCCCACTCTGTCCAACAATAATTTACTAAGTTTGATTGGCACTGAGATTAAGAAGATGAAAAGTATTATGATTGAAATTTATTTAGATGAGAGGGAAACCATATGATCCACAAATTTTCTTCCTCAAAGGTGAAGTGACAAAGTTATTTGAAATAGCCAAATTAGAAAAGTTGTCAAACTATTGCAGGATGCAGAGAGTATATGTAGTTCCAAGACCAAGGATGGATCTAAACTCTAATAGAAACTTGACGTATAGCTTTCCAGACTACGAGGCTACTTTAAGATTATAACTTTTAAGAGATGAATCAATGCATGGATGACATACAACTGATACGTAAATATACCTCGACCATGCAAAAACATACTCCTTTCAATTCATAGTAGGTACCACTTCAAAGGACATTTTTTGGTTCACTAGATATCAATTTTATACAACCAAGACACCATTAAATTCTATATTTCCATTTTCACCATATAGGGACTCGCTTTTAGCACCCCCATATAATAAGTATTCAACCATAGTAAAAGTATTATATAGAGATAATATTAGAGGGGGGTCATTCAATGATTCCATGATCATAAGATCCTTGTAAATGCGTGATTTCCTCCAAAATGACACTTCCAGATATGGTATATAATCTAGTAACTCTGCAGCTCTACTAGTGTAAGTAAGCAAACAAGGAAACTAACTTCAGTTCTACCACAACAACAGGAAACTTCACTGTTAATCTTCAATAAATAAATCACCACCAGATAAATATTACACAAGATTTTCCCAAATTGAGTGGAAATCAGATTACCAGTAGGCTAAAGCACAAGTAGAATTTTCTATCACCTTTTACAAACACACTCCAGTAGCATAAGAAATCACAGAGCTTTTAGGGGACCAAAATCTATAACTTTACAGAACAGGGAGACACAGGGGAAAGAGAGCTGAGAAAATCATTACGTCTGACGACTTTGTTGGTGCCCTTGATGGTGTACGAGTCAAGGTCTTTCTTTCCGGGTTTGGTCTTCGCCATCAGGCCGATTCTGTACAGTAGCTGAGCCTCAGAACTGAAACAACAAAAACCAAAGAACTCGTTAGAGATGCATATCAACAATGGAAAAGGAAAAAGGTAAAGGCTTTCTGGGATTTCGATAGAGAGAAAGCTATGGGTGATGAATGTTGGTAGTAGAGTGAGAAGGAAATGGAGAGTTGAACTTCCAATTTGGGGGGCAAGAAGCAGTAAACCTACCTGGAGCAATTGGAGTGAGACAAGATGGTGGGGGTTCCTGGACGGACCAATTTATTTTTCCGCGATTTTACGTTGTCACTGTGACACTATCATCGCAGACAGTAACAAAAACACAAATTTTACGTTGTCACTGTAAGATTATCATAATTTTGATTTGAAAACCCAACAAATAGATTACAAATGTTAATGTATGGTATCCTCATTTCTCACACATCAGCTGTATAACCGCGTCAGTTGACTGCATTAGTGCCTTGATCACGAAAATATTACTTCCCCGTCCTCTAAAACTTTTTCAAATTTACATTTTTGGGTGTCTCACTAATTTTGTCATTTTCCTTTTTAATTAAAGAATCTGTGGTTCCAGTTAATCTAACAAGTATTTGACCAAAAGAGTTACAAAAAGAATACCTCATGGACAAATACACCCCTTCTAGTCGCTTCCTCGCTAGTTCCAGCAAGGAGTCTGTAATAGCTCTTGACAGAAAGCTCTCCATTTTTCTCACCTTGCCACCAAAACCCATCCTTTTGTTCTCTAAAACTGATGGGAGTACTCGATATTTTCAAGCTCTCATCCGGTGTAAACAAACTTTTAACTCTATAACATTCCAATTCTTGTCATCCTCTGATATCTAGGTGGCAACATTCATATCCAAAACTCCATTTAGTTTCCCCGATTGAATTCTATCTGACCCGTCTCCCGGGAGCCATGCGTCGCCCCAAAGTTGAACATCAACTCCATTTCCAAGTCTCCTACAAGAATTCCCGGTAATTACTGCTTAAGTTTCGAAAATGTTGCGCCAAATGAAGGGTGGATTACCTCCTAAGCTCGTTGTCAGAAAGATAGAATGGGGATAATACTGAGCCTTAAAAAACCCGGCCTACCAGACAGGTAGTGTCACCAGCCCTATTTTGCTAACATGGCTACGTTGAACTCCCGAAGACTGCGAAAACCCAAACATGGCTATATTTTAATCGTAAAACACATTTTTCCATTGTCCTAAAACTATTACAGAGTGCTATTTAAGAATTAGTTGATAACTTCTATGAGTTACTTTTCTTCAAATATATAATTTTTTACTTCAAACAAAGTATTGAGTAATAATAAAAATTAATGAAGTTGTAATTACTTTTTTAAAATTGACTAATACAATCACTTTAACTACTTTTTCTTTATTACTTTTGGAAAAACCGTTAGAAAGATAGAATGGGGATAATACTCAACCTTAAAAAACCCGGCCTACCAAACATGTAGTGTCTCCAACGCTATTTTGCTAACATGGCTACGTTGAACTCCTGAAGACTGCAAAAACCCAAACATGGCTATATTTTAATCGTAAAACACATTTTTCCATTGTCCTAAAACTATTAAAGAGTGCTATTTAAGAATTAGTTGATAACTTCTATGAGTTACTTTCTTCAAAAATATAATTTTTTTAGTTCAAGCAAAGTATTGAGTAATAATATAAATTAATGAAGTTGTAATTACTTTTTTAAAATTGGCTAATACGATCACTTTAACTACTTTTTCTTTATTACTTTTGAGAAAGCTGTCAAATAGGTATATATACTTTTAACAAAAAGTCAATTAAGTTGATGTACTTTTTTTCGAGTCAATCAAGTCTTCTCCTTTATTACTTTTTACTGTTTTCCATTTTTTAAATTTTCTTTTCCTTTTTCATTTTTCTTCTCTCTTCCTTCTTTCTCTTTTTTCTGTTTCTTCTTTCTTCGTGGTCCGCCCCTCTTCTCCTTTCCTGGACCGCAGCCCCCCTTCTTCGTTACTTTCTTTCCTTTTCTTGTCTCCACCGCAACTCCGGTTTTTTTCTTCCATTTTTGCTGCCTCCACGTCCCCCTGAAACGAATTGCGCCGCTATGGCCTCTTTAGCCATTACCTCTGCCGACCAGCCTCCATAGCAACCGCCTCCGGAGTCCAACCTCTACTTTCACCTCAACCACCCACATCCGCCATACACAGGGGCGGAACTAGCTATGGGCTTGGAGGGGCTTGAGCCCCTGTAGTTGTTTTTATATTTATTATATATATATGTATATATATATATGTATATATATTAAACATAAAATTGTAAGTTGTAAATATTTATAAAACATGTGTGTTATACATTAATAACCAGTATGTTAAGAAATAGACACGGCAGCGGAGTGGAGGAGACATTCCGTGCATGTTTTCGGACCATGAAATGGTCTAGGGTTCGAATCCTGTCTTTGGTAACTTTATATTTTGCTTTACTTGTGTCTTTTTTAATCTCTAAATTAATTTAAAGCACTTTAAATAGTTTTATTCAAATTTTGGTGATGTACTAGCACATGGGTAGGAATCACAATTTTGCTATGACAACTTTCTCTCAAATCAACACATCATAATTAATTTCTTGTTTTTTGGTTTCATAAAAAATTTCATTTGATCTTGTATGTAATTAAATTTGTGATTTTTCAGTTTTTACTGTTCAAGATATTATTTTCTAGAATAAAATATATATGTGGATGCAACATCTTTCGGAGACCTTCGCTTTCTCATTAAGTGCCCCTTCAAGGTCCTCGAGCTGGTTCCGCCACTGGCCATACAAACGTCCTCCGGCCACCATCTCCGTCCATTCGTCTCCTCCATTGAAACGACCTCCAATCGCGCCGACTTCCATAACAACCTCCTCTGTCACCCTTACCACCATACCCACCGCCTTCGGCTTCCACCTCCGTGGTCTCCACCTTAGCCTCTTCCCTTGGAAGTTGGAACGACCTCCAACCACACCAACCTCCATAGCTACCACCTCCACCATAGATCTGTAGTGTGCACAGGAGGGAACTGAGGAGATGGAATTGCAGATGCACAGGAGACATAGAAAAAGGAAATAAAAAATAAAAAAAAATGAAAATATTAAAAAAATGCCAACATGACATCCATGTGGGCAGTTAACCGGATTACCTGTGTGACTACCCATGAAATAACTGATTTAGCCATATTTTGAGAGTTGATGAACTTGATTCACTCAAAGAAAAGTACATGGACACAATTGTTTTTTGTTAAAAGTAGGTGAGCTTATTTTACAATTTTCCCATCACTTTTTTTATATTAATAAAATATACTTTGAATATAGATTTTGTTATAATTCAAAGGATTTAACTAGAATTTTACTAATTTCAACAACTTTAATCAATTTGAATATTTTGAAAAGTGTTTGAGTTTCACTGTTTCAGGAAAATTATTTAATGGAAACACTTTGTATTGAAGAATGAGAATTTTTTCAGGGAAAGGAAGCAATAAAACTCGTGATTGAATCCAATAGAAATTTATTGTCATTATGAACAAAAAGGCTAAACACGAAGGCAAGGTTCGAAATTGCGTATTGCGTAGTCGTGACGTTTTTTGAATATTGCATATTGCGTAGGCCTCATTGCGCAACGAGGCGTATGCCTGAGGCGTAATACACACACACATATATAAACATATTAAAAAATAAACATAGAATAAAGGTATGAGAATTTAAATTAATTAGAATAAGAGGCCATAGTCCTAGCAAAGTAATATGTTCAAACTTCAAAGTACCATAGAATACCAAAACTTTCTGAATCGTTTATAAAAAAATCTAAGATATGAGAATTTTAATTAATTAGATTGATCGACTGAAAAAATTCAATCAATAACTAGTGGTTTGAAATAGAGATCATAACATCAATTATAAAATTTTAAAAGTGGCCCGGGTGGACCCAAATAATACCCTTACGGCCTTACCCTCTAACCTTCTCCTATTGCGTACGCCTCATAGCACCTTATTGCGTACGCCTCGGTGCAATATTGCGTACGCCACACTCCCAACGCCATATGCAATGCCTTTTATGCCATAGTCTAGGAATTAGGTGAGACGTGCCATGAGGGGCATTGCGCAATTACAAACAATGAACGAAGGAAACGAGATTAATAATAAAATCATCAACTAATAATCATCATCATCACCATAAGCTCGAAAGCTATAGCGTTCTTGGTAAAATCCAGTGAAGAAGAGATCCGCCTCAAACCATTTGGGATAGCGAACCAAATCGCCGGCGACGAAATGCATATACCGCTCGCTCCCTTCTGGCACCACCCTCACCTCTCCTTCTTCGATGTACACCCATTGGTCCACGTGCCAGTCCCACGCCAGCTTGGTGTCCCCACCCGTCTTCCACATCGACCATCTCCATACCCCCAGCTTCTCCAATCTCTCCTTCGCCACCGCCTTCTCCACTCGCACGTTGTACAACTCCTCCAGTGGTTTCTCGATCCTCATCGCCCTGAAACTCACCCGCGTGCTTCGGTGCGGCGGATTGCGGCAGCGAGTGGCGGAGAAGCCACTCATACTCGGATTCACCGCTACTGTATTAATGCTTGCCATCTCTCTTTCTGGTTCGTGCCGAAATTCACCTGCACATAGTTTAATCGTCGGCAGCAATTAATAGTTCAATTGTTAAAGTAGGATTTGAACCCAATTGAGTAATAAACCAAAAAAATAGTGAAAAGGGATATAGTGTAAAATATACGATAATATATAGAAGAAAGCAAATAGCCAAATACTTGAAGAAAAGATTCGTCCAATTGGTTGGACAATTGCGAATGAGATTTTCTCAAAAACAATAAGTAGCACTAAAATAAATGTTATGGACAAAATAAATAAGATCACTTTCAAAAACTTTTAAAAATGAGAGTAAAGAGTGCTTGGATCTGATTTTTAAAAGAGAAAATTAACCCACATATGACTAAAATTTAATGTGTTTCCAAAATATGACTTCTATCTTTTTTCTTCCCAATATGATAGTGTTTCGTATGTATAAAACTAATATTTAATCATATTTTGGGATGTACAAAAGTAGTAGTCATATATTCTGAAATTGTCAATGTTTTAGTCATATATTAGTAAATATCCCTTTTTAAAAATGATTTTGCTACTTCAGGGAGCGAAAACAAAATTTGGAATGTTTGAATGAAAGACTGAAAATGAAGAAGTACTTCTGATGCTCTAATTTATTTCCTACTAGCAATTTTTTTAGAAGCTGAAGGAGATCAACTTATGACAACTAATTCTGATTCTACTTTAAAAAAGAAACAGAAGCATAATCGGTTCCAAACACCCCTTGAACTACTTCCAATGACCGTGACCAATCCAACCAGTTACTAATCTGCCAATGACCAAACTAGTCAATGACTAATCCTACTAGTGATCATGACCAACCATATCAATGACCAATCCGGCCAATCTTACCAGTGACCAACCCGACCAGTCTAACCGGTGACCAACCTGACCAATCCGACGAAATGACCAATCTTACCAGTGATTCCCCAGACCTGCCATGCCACCACCAGCTGCCCCACAACGGTCATTGCCAACTAGCCACCACAACCACTACACCACCCTACCCGTGCCTTTGCCCCCTGCCATATACTTCCCCGCCCCTACAGGCTACACCCGTCTTTGTTCTCCTTCCCTGCAATTCCCCGCCCTGTCCAGCCCATGCGAACCCCACATACACCATCGATTTCTATTACAATGAATGATTATTTGACATACTTTTAGAGTAAAGAGATCAAACCTACGAGTAAAAGACCTATGGAACAATTCAGTAGTGGAACTCAAAATACAAATCAAAACATAGAAAAGAAACAATTCAGTTCCTACACAAGAAAGCTCCTGAGAAATAAAGCAAGATGGTTAGAAGGTTTTTACCCTTGCGGGAAATATAGCGTGGTAGAGTCGTAGAGAAATGGGGAAATTCCAAACATAAACCTTGAAACCCAATTGCTTTCTGTGAGATGCTCTTTCGAATTTCGATTCGACCTCCACCCTCGTAATGTTAGGGTGAAGCCGATTTCGGGCTCGTCCCTGGTTCGAAGAAGCTGTGCTTATCCAGATCCGGTTCGTCGGCACCTCAACAGATGTCAAAGGTTTTCCGCCGCCGCAGTAGAACATTCAATAGCTCTCCGCCACTTAGTTGCAGAGATGTCCGCCTGGAAGCAGAGTGAGAATCGGAGAGGGGGCTGGATACGCCGATACGGGGATTCGTAGGATGAAATGAACGAGCGAGCAGTCTTATTTTTGTTGTTTAGAAGTCAGCCTACATAGCTTTTTTGCAATCATTTTAAACACATCATTTATTTGAGCAAAAAAACATTTTTAAAATGAAAAATAATGTCAATCCATTAAAAAAGAAAACAACTCATATTTCTCGTATAAAACATATATTTTTTCGTATTTTACAAAAAATAGAAATTTGAATAGATCAATTGAATGAATGCATTAAATAAATAGAAGATCAATAATAATACTTTAAAAGTAAAAAGGACAACTTCCTCCCTTTGAGTATGTGACCTCATGTTTTTGTATTGTTACCATACAAAATGTACAACTATTAAATACTACAATTAATTGCATGATGCTAAAGCTAGCATCATAAGAGATTGAAAATAATAAGTGTAGTAGTCGCACAACTTTTCTCATATGTCATTCAACTATCATCTTGATGAAAATGATGAGTTTAACTTGAGTGTCATTTGATGATCATATAAAAATATCGATTTTAACTTAGTTTCATTCTATCGTTAATTTTTTTTTGGAAAAAGACGGCTTATATTGATATCAAAGCATTCAGCAAGGGAACAAGACGATAAAAGGATCACTTCCAACCACTGACCCTCGAACCAGACTTAGAGCCAATCACCCTGGATAAAGCAATATGACTCGCTGATCCTATAATGGGTCTAAATGAGCCTAACGTGGTTAGAGGAAACCCCTCATCACCCCAACCTAATGCAAGAGTTTGACGGAATAAAAAATAGCAAAAAATAACAACGACAGTCTGATCAAAGCGGAAAAAGATAAAAAACATAAAGTAGTGGGAATTCAGCTGCATCCTCCCGCAGCTGACCAAAAGCCTCCGATCTCCCATTTTCTGGGATATTCTCCCATCCTTTGGCGGATCTAGATACCTAGACCCGCCCCTGCTCCATTTTTTGAGAGGTCCACTGCCATATTATCCTCTGCCTCATCCTCATGGCGCTTCTCCTCCCACGTTCTTCTGCGTTTATGCTCTCCTGGAAAGCCCTCTGATGGAGTATATGGCCCAGGGACCCCCGACCCACATACTTCCTCTACTACAATCAGGTCCAACAGGCCCAAATGGGCCAAGCCCAGAAAAATGGAGCTCTAAGCAGCCCACAATACGCAAGGGGTGCCTTCGGCCATGGGGCCGAAGGCTACCAGTGACGGAATCGAGCTCAGAAACATCACAGGAGAACAAGGCTTGAAAACCAAGCCTTCGGCAACTGCAGCCCTCGACAGGTAGGAGCCCTCGGTAGAAGAGGCATCACAGGAGAACAAGGCTTGAAAACCAAGCATTCGACAACTGCAGCCCTCGGCAGGTAGGAGCCCTCGGTTAGAAGAGGCATCACAGGAGAACAAGGCTTGAAAACCAAGCCTTCGGCACCTGCATCCCTCGGCAGGTAGGAGCCCTCGGTTAGAAGAGCCTTCGGTCCAGCACCCTTCAGCCGAAGGCATCCACCTCGACAGAATATCCTCTTCACATGTGCCTGGATCACCGTACCAAGTACAAACGTCACATCCAACCACCGCATTTAATGCGGCCACATGCGAGTGCCAGTGCCACCCCGGTCGAGGTGACCCCTCGACCACCAGAAAACTGACACGTGTCCTTATCTAGCATTTATTACTACTATAAATAGCACCCCTTTCCCCCATTGTAAACCACGCTTAATACATATCGAATATACACTCTCTCTCTTACTTGTTTGCTCTGACTTCTCTCTAGTTATTCTCCGCAATAACCCCTCGGATAAGCTACCCCCGGGTACACTATCCATCACCCTCCATGTCGGTTGTTTGTCCCCCCACCCCTTCCTTCGTGCTAGCTTCCACCGCAGTAGATATCTCACGTTGCATCTCTACCTCCTCTGTGCCACTTGTTGCACTCTGGTGAATTACCTTCTGACTCAGCCCACTTCCACTTGAAACGCCTTCAGTAACTAGCCATTTATTAGCCCCCATCGGTCGAGTTTTCCCTCCCCCCCAGCACGGAGAAGAACTCTGAAAGGTTTAGTCAGTAGTTTGTTTCCACAATCATATGCCAAGGGGCAAAATCTGTCAGCATGACCAATAATACCACAGGCAAAGCAAAAGCTAGGTAGTTTTTCGTATTTAAAATCCACCTTGTGCCCTATACCGCTCCCTTTTCACAACGTCGTACTCACTTTCAGAGCTTTACCTACATCCATGGATACTCTAATTCTCATATAAGAATTCCAACGGTCCTCAAATTGACTTTCATCAAAGCTGATAAAATTACCAATAAAATTACCCACTCTCCTAGCCACCCCTAAATTCATGAGATCATACGGCACATTGTGTACTTGCACCCAAAATTCAGCCTCGTTTAGGGGGACCCGAAGAGGGATATCCCCCGGTTTCAGTGCCCTCAGCACCAACAAGTTCTGTTCATACAGCCACAGTCCTCCTTCTAAAACACGTTCCATGTCAATAAAATGATAAAAGGTAAATAAATACCTCTTCTCGCTGATTTCTTTAATGGAGATTCCTTTGCTCGGACGCCAAATAGAAGCCATGAGGTCCCTAACTACAGGGAATTTCACCATTTTGTCAGTGAGCACTGTACCGACAACCGGAAAGGTACTGCTGCGATTCGAAGAGGCCTCCTCGTCCAGAACCAACTCTTCCTCATCCCCTCCAATCTCCAAGTTATCACACTTGTTCACCATCTCTTCCATCTCAGCTATGTCGTGTTAATGTTTTGCCAGCTTTGTCAAACCTGGAGTTCTGTTTCGGAAATCTGCCGCAAACCTTATCAACCTATAAACCTGCCGTGAAGCCTATCTCCTGCCTGTCTGGAAACCTTCGCTGCTCTCTCTTTTCCAATTCAAAACAGTCCCGCAAACTACTGCCGCTCCCTAACCAAATGAATCGTCGTGTTCTGTTTGACTGAAACCTGCGCTTGACTCATTAGTGATTTTTCCGTTCATTAGAGGCGGCCACATTAGTAATTTTTCCGTTCATCGTTTCCAACTGCCAAATCTTAAAGTCTCATATCCATTCTATCGTTATTATTTCTTATTCTTTTGATATTCTTTTGCAAAATTATGTCTTGGACTTAATTATTATTTTTATTTGTCTCATCAACTTATGCAATTACGAATTATTCTTTTATGCAGTAATGAGATTTGTTACTTGAATATGTGTATACATTTATTTCTTTTTACTAAATATGTTATTTTGAAGTATATATAATTAAAATGTTCAAAATAATACCCATATTTTTTGTCCGAATTTTTCTAACATATATCGTATTATAAACGTATACATATTTACGTGTTATTTAAAAGTGGACGTTTTTCAACGATTTTTTGGCCGTTTTTGAATTCATATTACAGAATAAAATGTGTACGTAGTAAACCTCGTTTAATTCTCGTACCGTATTAAACTAACTAGGAAAGTCAATCCCATTTATGTCCGGTCAAAACTCGAGAGTCTTATTTTTGACATTATATTATTTCATTGTGAATTTGTCAGTAGAAGGTTCATACCCGAAAAGGAGGAAAGAAGTTGGGACAATTCCCACAAGGAAAAGCATTTGGGAACTCCAAATATGAGTGTTAAACAAGAGTTTATTCTTGTTATCCGCCAAATTTGCTCAAATCAGGATCTTAGGAGCAATTTGAAACACCCAAAAGTACTTTTACACTTTCACTCAAATACTCTAATATCTATTTCTGCTCCTTAAAGGAACATAAGCAGTTTTATGAAATTTGATGGAGTATATGGCCCAGGGACCCCCGGCCCATAGACTCCTACTACTCTAATCAAGGCCCAATAGGCCCAGGAAGCACAACAGGCCCAAATCACAGCGCCCCGAGGCCCGCCATCAAGGGCCAAGCCCTAGCGGACTTCGTGACGGAGTGCACGACAAGATCGGCCACGGATGAGGAGCCCTCAGCTCCCTCGGACGATTGGTGGACCCTCTACACCGACGACTCCTCCGCTATCAAAGCATGTGGAGGAGGGGTGGTTCTCATCTCACCCGAAGGCTTCCGGGCCTATTATGCAATCCGCTTCTCCTTCAAGGTCTCCAACAATGAAGTCGAATACGAGACCCTCCTCTGTGGCCTTCGGCTGGCAGCTAACATGAAGGCAGACAGATCCACGTCAAGTGCGACTCCAAGTTAGTTGTCGGCCAAATTTCCGGGGAGTACGAAGCCAAGGAAGGGAGAATGAAGCAGTACAAAGAAGCGGCCAAGGAGTTGCTTAAGGTATTTGAGGCACACTCTCTTACTCAAATACCGAGGACTCAAAACTCCGAGGCCGACATTTTATCGAAGCTCTCGGCCGAATCCCCTGAGCATATCTCAAAGATTACCAAAATCGAGGAGCTCAGCCTCTCCAGCATACATGCTAGCCCCGTCATACACATACAACAGAGGCAAGAGGACTGGATCTCAGATATCGTCGTCTTCATCACCGCAGGGCAACTGCCCGAGGATGAGGCCCGTGCCAAGCTAGCAAAACTAAGGGCTCCCAACTACACCATCGAGGACGGAAGGCTTTACAAAAGATCATACAACGGGACGCTGCTCCGGTGCCTTCATCAAGATGAAGCCGAGGTTGCGATGGAGGAGGTGCACAGTGGCACTTGCTCAGCTCACCAGGGACCCTTCTCCATGTCCCGAAGGCTCATAATCCAAGGCTACTTTTGGCCTACAATGGCTCGGGATTGTGCGGATCTCGCCCGAAGGTGTACCGCATGCCAACACTTCCAGAAAGCTCCCGGCAGGCCAGCGGTCAACTATGCCCCCATCAGCACATCCATACCCTTCGCTCGATGGGCATAGACCTTGTGGGCCCTCTGCCGAGGGGTACCTCCAACAACAGGTACATCATTGTCGCCATTGACTACTTCACCAAGTGGGTGGAAGCTGAGCCCCTCGCAAGCATCACCGAGGCCAAATGCCGTCACTTTGTTCTCAAGAACATCCTCACAAGGTTTGGCGTCCCCCAGCAAATCATCTCCGATAACGGGACTCAATTTGAGGCAGCCCCCTTCTGTGCCCTCCTAGAGGCATGGGGCATCAAACACACCTTCTCCTCCGTTGCCTACCCTTAGGGCAACGGCCAAGTAGAAAACGCCAACTGGATCTTGCTCGAGCGCCTAAAAAAGAAACTGGAGGCCGAAGGGGGAGGCTGGGTAGAAGAACTCCATAACATCTTATGGGCCTACCGCACCGCCCCTCGGCGGGCAACAGGTGAAACACCCTTCTCCCTTTGCTACGGTTTTGAGGCTAAAGCTCCTACGAAGGTGACCCTTCCTACCCGAAGGGTGATCCAATATGACCCCGAAGTCAACGACGCCAACATGGCCCTCGACCTTCACCTCATCTCAGAACGCCGAGAGCAAGCCTTCATACGGGCGGAGAACTACCGAAGGCAAATCAAAAGCTACATCGACGCCAAAGTCCGCTCTCGAGAATTCCAAGTAGGAGACTATGTCCTCCGAAGGAGGGAAGCTAGCCAACAAACCGAGGGAGGCAAAATGGCACCAAAATTTGAGGGTCCGTACATCATTGCAGCCGTCATCAAACCAGGGACCTACAAACTCAAACGCCCCAACGGGACCGAGGTCCCTATGCATTGGAATGTACATTACTTAGTTAAATTTTATCAATAACATTAGAGCGGCCAAGCCCTCATAACTAGTGAATGCATTATTCTATGGCCCAAGGCCTCCAATTTTTAAAGAATGAAGGCATGTTGAAGACACCAAGGACAAGAAACAAAGCCCTTGTGATCGGCCAAACCCTCGCATGACCTCCTGGACCCAGGCCTTATCACATCAAGCACCGAGGGTAGGCACTACTATCACCTACAACAGTGGGGAAAGCACCAAGTGTTTTCAAAGAAGGCCCCTCGACACCAAGTGCCGGGGGGGTACACTCTCCCGCTACCTACAACAAATGAAGAAAAACACCAAGTGTTTTTCAAAGAAGACCCCTCGGTACTGAGTATTTCCTTTGAAGGCCCTTCGATACCAAGTGCTGGGGGTATGCAATCCTGTCAACTTTCATCAAGCGGAGGAAAAACACCAAGTGTTTCCTTTGAAGGCCCTTCGGTACCAATTGCCGAGTGTAGACACCCCAATCACCTGCGACAAGTGAAGGAAAACACCAAGTGTTTTCAAAGAAGACCCCTCGGTACTAAGTACCGGGGGCCGTATACCGGAACGAACACCAAGTGTTGTTTCTAAAGCCGTACCCCTCGAGGACGCATATACCGAAGGCGCCACCTATCGGTGCCGGCGGCACGTAGTGCCCCCGACCATTTGCAACCAGTGCGCAAATGAAAACCCTTCCTTGAAACGCTTTCCGCGTCACTACCCCAAGGGTATGACAGGCAAGTAATATGCTCAGGATTCGACTTTCAAAAACGGAACACTTTCCGCGTCATTTCCCCCAGGGATTGGCAGACATCTAATATGCCCAGGATTCGACTTCCAAACCGAAACGCTCCCCGCGCCACTACCCCAAGGGTGTGGCAGGCCGCGGACTATGTCTGGCGCCGAGGGGACGACTTTCAAAATTGAGGCGCTTTCCGTGCCATCCCCCAAGGGGAGGCAGGCTACAGACTATGTCCTATGCCCAGGAAACGACCCTCGATCCCCTCGGAACTTGGAAGGTTAACCCGAGGGGGGAGCTAATGGTGTATTCTATTACCTCCCGATAGGCCAAGCCTTACCGAGAAACCAAGTTTCTTGAAGCCTTCCCATCACTACCAAAAAAAAAAGAAAAAAAGAAAAATAATAATAATAAAAAAACGAAAAAAACGAGGGAGTGAAGGGGAGTAAACTCAGCGAGAAATCAATGAGTACACAACTTCAACAAATCACAACAGGAAATCCTTCGGCATTACGAGGAATCTCAACATCATACTGATGGCTTCCCCACGGGAACACCTCCGAAGGCTACTATTCAACAGATGTCATCAACAAATGGACAAGTCACTGCCGCCGAAGACTCTAATCCAACTAAAGAAAAAGAACTGGCCAAGTCCACTCAACAACATTTCAAGCAGCAGTTGCCCCGGGCTCTTTCACTGAAACATCGAGGGCCCGTCTATCTTTCCGTACTATACTTGGGCTATGAAAGTTCCTCCTAAGTCCACACTAGGGGAACCTGACAAATCCCGAAGGCCCATATGCTACTCAAGGCGTGAAGGCACCTCCTACATTACTGGGGGCCAGTGCTCACGGATCAAAGGAAGCTACCCTAGGGTGGATGCCCCCGAGATTACCATCATGACCGAGGGAGGTCTCACCTAAAGAGGCTATAATCCTGAAGGCTCCCAATGCCGAAAGCCCAGATGATTCTCAACCACTTAGAAAACATTCTAAGTCCTAAATGGTTGGCCCTCGGCCATCCCACGGAGGTCACCAGGAGGCTCCTTCCCCATGCAAATCGGGGGGGTTACATTACTCAAAGGCCACTTGGTGAAACAATACTTAGAATTTTTTTGCTAAGTTCTACATATTTGGCCCTCGGTCATGTATTCTCACGTCCAGGGGGGTCAAATGACCGAAGGCGTGGTACTAAACTACACTTGGAAAAATTTTCTAAGTCCTAAATGCTTCGCCCTCGGTCAAACACCCATGCAGCCCGAGGGGCCACACAATCGAAGGCCTGGTGGGAGGACAACACTAAGAAAATTTTTCTAAGTCCCAAACAACTGACAACCTAAGCATCAAGGTACGAGGGCATTCATTCACGAGGCATATTAGAAGGCATTCATTTCACAAAAGAAAAACGAAGGCATACATTCAAAGAAAAAGCGAATTATGTATAAGAGGCCCGAAGGTAGGCATTCATTCACAAACAGGGAGTAAAAGTTGCTGGCAATCATGGCCGAAACCGAAAGTTACATACATGATTATACAAAAGATGTTCAAATCATACAATCACAACATCATCAACCACTTCAACAGAAGCACTCTCGATAGGCTTAGAGGAGACATCCCCCTCATCATCATCACTCGGTGCCTCCGCCATTAGGACCGAGTCTTCAAGAACCGGCCTCTCTTCGCCCGAGGGGATGGGAACACGAATGTCTGGTTGCAGAGGGGGGAGGCCATATGCTGCAGGGTCGAACTTCTCCGGATCAACCTGGAAATGCCTGGTGAGCCTCCGGTAAACGAGGGCTTGGGTGAAATACTCACCGCCCTCGTAATAACTCTTGCCCTTCTGGGCCATCCACTCAACCCCGGGGCCCTTAACCCAGTCATCTACCGAGGCTGCAACAACCGAGGAAACCCATCCCTCCTCACCCTCAGCTTTCCACCCCTCAACATGAAAGGCGGCGACAGCATCCTCCCGGGCTTGGATAACATCTTCCGCTTTGCAGCCTCGACCTCATTAGCGGCTTTTTGTGCGGCCTCGGCAGCAACCTTGGCAGCTTCAGCCTTCTCCTTCCTGGCTCTCTCGGCCTCCTCCCTCGGTTGCCGGAGGTCCTCCTTCAGCTGGGCCATCCACCTCACAGCATCATGGTTGTCATGTACCATCTTTGTCATCTTCTCAGCGTCCTGGGCCCTCTGAAGGCGCCACTCCACTAGCCTTCGAGCTTGTTCACCGAGGGCAATACAAGCCTGGAGATAACAAGGGAGTCAGGACACCATACTAAGTACTCTAAAGAAAAGCGGAAACAAAGGAGATAACTCACAGTGAGGGAAGATCGGAGGATCTTGGACTCGAGGGCTTCGTCCTCAAGTTTGCCAAGGGCGGCCCTATCGAACGAGGGGGTAGCACCCCGGAGGAACTCTATCGGATGCATGATCCCCCTCAGAAGGGAAGAAGGTATGTCCTCCCGGGGTAAGCCCCCCTCGCCCCTCTGTGCCGAAGGGGGACCAGAGGCAGTGGTCTCCGCCACAACGTGAAGCCCGGAGGCAGAGTCCTCCCCCACGACCACAACCAGAGGGGTTTTCTTCTCAGCATCCCCTCTCCAGGGTTTCTTCCCTTCAGGACCCGGACCTTTGCCTACTGGCTTCCTCTTGGCAGCAGCATCAGCAGGGGCAGTAGCTGAAGGTTCCCCAACATTCTTGGGGAGTGCATCGAGGGGTTTCTGGACGCTCGCGTCCTTCTTATTGGGCTCCTTCGTCGATTTCTTCATGAAGCCCGTGAAGTTTTTGAGATCCATTTCAGCACCTGCAAAATAAGGCAAACGAATGAGACCGGAGGGTCAGAAAAGAAATTGATCTACGCAAAAATCCTAAGCACAAAAAGGCGGAGCCTTCGGAAACCTACCTCCTACAAAATGTTCGAGGACAGGATACTTAGCATCCGTCTCCCCTAAGAAACGAAAACGGCGGAAGCCCAGCCCATACAGATCATCGTCGAGGGTCAGCTCCTTGACCATCATGTGCTTTTTGCGCCCTTCGGGGATAGCAGAGATGATCTTCTCAGCCTTCTCGAGGGCAGCACTCCCCACCTTCGGGTGATGCCTGAAACGATCCCGCAGCTCCCTCGGGAATGGATTACCTGGCATCTTCACGTAATAGAACCGGTCCCTCCAGCCCTTGTGGGACGAGGGTACGTCGTCAAAAAGCCTCCACGGGGCAATCTGTTGAAGGTTTGCATAGCCTTCGGAGTTAGCATGCCCCCCCCCCCCCCCGGCACAGGTTGAAGCTCTGGAAAAAGAGGTCCAGAGTGGGGGCAACCCCCCCGGATTAACAGAGACGCAGGAAGGCCGCGATATACGAATGACTGTTTGGGGTAAGTTGGCAGGGGGCTAGGCCAACGTACATGAGATACTCCAGGAGGAAGGGGTGCAACGGGAACCGGAGGCCCATTGAGACGGAGAGGATGTGGACTGTGAAGCACCCCTCGGGAGACCGGGAGAGTACGTCATTCGGACCCGGCTCAACCACATCCGCTGAAGGCCCCACGTGCAACTGCGTCACGTAGCAATCAGCCCGACCTGCCCTCGAATTTATCGCGAGGGCAGCAGTATTCAACCAGGAATACCCCTCGGGAATCCCAACCGATTTCCCTTGGTCAGCAGCACTTTTCTTCTTGAAAGCTCCCGTTTTCTTCGTCTTCTTCGCCCCGGGGGCTACCCTGAGGGGCGTGGGGTTCAGGGACCTGGAGGTGCTGGCCTCACCCGCATTCCGAGGGGAAGGACGGCAACAGTAACCCTCGACCTCTCCTTCTGCTCCTCCTGCTAAGCGACTTGAACGGCGAGGGTCATCTCCTCGTCTTCGATCACCTGCTCGAAGTCCTCAGCTTCGGCTTCAGCAACGAGGTCTTTCTGTACCTCTATGGCCATTGCGGCATCATTCCCGGCCGAGGGTTGCTCACTCGTGGACTCCACGTCTGAGATGCTTTCCTCCTCCATCGAAAGCTCCCTCGAGATGTCCTGGGAATCGCTTTGCGAAGACATCCTCAAGAACTAAGGGATGAGGGGGCTTTAAATGCTGAGGGCTTCCTAAAAGTGCTTAAACACTTAATCTAAGGCGACAAAGCTACAACTCGCTAATATAACAACGAACGGGTGAAGAACTGACCTCGGAAGATTGGTTTGATCGAAGGCAGGTGTTTCTGTCTCTAGAAATCAAATGGCTAGAGCTTCGTTACAAATGAGATCGCACAAGGGTCAGAGCTCAGACCTTGGGATATTTATAGGCACCCAAATTCGGGCCTGGGCTGGAAATTGGGCCCCCGATGGAAAAATCATCATTACAAACCGTCGAGCTGCCCAATCGGTGACGCCCGCCCACAGGCAGCCAACGGCCACGTGCCACGTGTACTCCCCCTCCAACGGTCATATTACAACGACTATATTCTGGGAAAATGGGTGTTCTCCTTCACTCCACTTCATCAAGGGGAGCTCCCGGGTACACTTACCGGTGCTCCCGTCTTGTGCCCCTCATACTACATTGCGAGTGCCTTCAGACTCACTCCTTCAGAAGCCCACGAATTCACAATGGGCACACCCCTCGGGAACACTCAGTCCTCAAACACATTGAAGACCATGTAACCCCCGGGGAGCACACCTTCATCAATAGTTACCCTCGGCTACGCAACAAGGAAACCCCCCGGGGTACCACGGCCCTCAACTTATCAACAAACAGGGGACCCCTCGACAACACGGGAAATATCACCTACATTCATCATGCCCTCATTCTCATGAATTGAGGGCTCCCCATCGGCATCTCCCAGGATATCAAAAGCGAGCCTTCGGCAAAGCAACACACGCGCCTTCAAACAAGGATAGCCTTCGGCAAGAATACTGCCACTCATTTCAGACCAGGGTTTCACCTTTTCGACTCATCATTGGGGGAATTCGGTGCACTCTTTTTCCCTCATTGGAATTTTTTCCCACAGGGTTTTTTCCAATGAGGTTTTTAACGAGGCATCCCCCCAAAATGAAACGAAAAACGTCACCCCTCGGCTCCGTATTACAAGCAAGCACTACTCTACTCCTTTTCACCACTTTACAAGTGCCTTAAGGAGTGGGGGACTGGAGAACCCCTTCGGGAAAAATCTCCAAATACAAAAAATATCAAAAAACTCCCACAACGACAAACATGATCCCTCAAGTCCCAGAATGTGGGTAACTGAGGGACTGCCCTCGGCTGAAACATGCAAACGACAAACTACTCACAACTTTACAAACTACAACGGAACAACGGCGGAGGACAAACACAATTTCTCCTTTTTCCTCAAGTACCTTTCGGCAAAAGGAGTGAGGGACTCGTGATGAAGTATATGGCCCAGGGACCCCCGGCCCATAGACTCCTACTACTCTAATCAAGGCCCAATAGGCCCATGAAACACAACAGGCCCAAATCACAGTGCCCCGAGTACCAAGCAACCGACAATGCACATTGGGGGTGCCTTCAGCCCATGGGACGAAGGCTCCAGATACTCACAGGACGGTTGTTTCGGGCATACGAAGACATTGGGAGAAGACAGTAAAAACAGCAGCCCTCGGCACCTAGAGCCCTCGGCACCTAGGGTGCCCCCGGAAGGAAGAGCCTTCGGTCAATCATCTACGGTCGAAGGCTTCTCCTCGACAGAATCTCCCACCCACATGCGATGGATCAACGTACCAAGTACAAACGTCACATCCAACCACCACATTTAATGTGGCCACATACAATGCCAGTGACACCCAGTTGATGTGACCCCTCGACCGTTGGATGCTTGACACGTGTCCCCATCTCGCATTTATTACTACTATAAATAGCACCCCTTTTCCCCTTTGTAAACCAGATTCGGAATACACTTTTCACTCATATATTCAATACACTTTCTCTCTCTCGCTTGCTCTGACTTCTCTCTAGTTACTCCCCGCAGTAACCCTTCGGATACATACCCCCGAGTAAACTATTCATCAAAATTGATTCAAACACACCCTAAAACTCTAAGGCAATCTCTCAAGGAAATAAGAGTTTGAATTCATTGAAGGTAAATTTGTGTCAAGTGGCACAATTTCAAACAACAAAATTTAATATCAAAATATTTTAAAAAAAGAAAGTTATGACTGAAGTTTAAACAAAATAAAGTGAATTGATATCAATTACATATTTCTTGTCCAAAAAGAAATTGATATGCACAACAAAATGAATATTAAAAGAAACTGCCATAATGGAAACAGAGATATTATGATATGTCAATTTTATCATGTCCTTTGTTCAGTGCCAACTGCCAAGTATCTAATATGGTCAGAGGCGTCTAATGAACTTGGAGGTTCCAGTTCCAAATGGCAATTTAAGGCCTTCTAAAACAAGAAAAAATATGCGGAGTATATTTTAACAATGAAATACAAAATAGACTAGACAATTCAATGAAGTATAAATTTTATGATGTTTAAAGTACACAAATTAGAGAATCTAAAAGTTATAGACCTTTTAAACTCTTGAATAATACATGACATATAAAAAAATCAACTTATAACTAATACTACATTCTAAATTTTTGAAGGCCCCTACAAGAGTAAACTCTGGTACCAAGCACCTCCTAAAAACGGCCCTGAATATGGTATGTCTTTGTTCATGTCTTTTGTAGTCCTAAGCAATCATAAGACTTTCTTTTGCTTGGAATAATCTGAGCAACTCATTTTTTTTTGGATCAAGTGATGAGCAATATATCATTACTTATTGGATCAGGAACCGGTAAGTATACAAGGCCTTGAATTGACACCGACTAACCCAGTTCTCCAAAACTAACTCGTGCTCCTCATTAGAGTCCAAAACACACAACATTCCAATTTCCAACTAAATTCTAAAGAGCAATCACATAAATTTGTGAGATTTCCCAAAATAAGAGAAAATGAGATTTTGAATTCCAAAATAGGACTCATATGTTTTTCTTCCTGAAATAGAACTACATGATAATATTTACTGTCATCTTGTAGGCATAACTGCCAATTAATGGTAGTACTATGTATTCAACATGACAGTATTTATTACAATGAATGACAGTATTTATTATAATTAATGACAATATTTTTCAATCATGACTATATTTTTCATTCATGGCCGTAAATACTTCTATTTCGGGAAGAAAAACATAATAGTTCTATTTTGGAATTTCAAACCTCATTTACTCCTATTTTGAGCAATTTCCCCATAAATTTTAACAAAATGCCCATTCATAACAACAAGCATCACAACCGATATGTATACAAACTCATTCTAACCCATCCTTGTAGCAATACACATAAAATTTCGATCTAACTAATTACTATGGTGGAACTAGGGATTGACAATGGCTCGAAACTATGATGACTTAGTATCACCTAAAACTCTAAGCACTTCATCATATGCCTCACTTGCGGCTCTGTTCAGGGCGACCTCTTTCTTCTGAAGGCACTTCCCTCTTCCTCTATATTGGTTGTCAACTAATACTTCACAAGTTCTGTTTTTTGCCCAGAGATCTACGAGCTCTACTTTAAGCTTATGCTTTTGGCACATTTCTTTTAGCTTCTTCACAGGATTTGTTTCGAGCATTTCTGGAGTTATTATTGGCTCCAATAGTGTCTTTGTTACCTGTGAGGTCCACAAGTTGGTTCCCAAATCAGTGGTGTATATTTATATCAGTTGCACCCTTCACCAGTTCACCTTCACCACAATGCTAGAAAGTACACTTTTGTAATGACCATCAGGGACCTAATTTTTTAGATACCACCTCCATCTCAGGTAAAGATTCTCCTCTACTATTCTCCGCTCAACGTAAATTGGTTTTAATCTTTTACTTTATATATCCAACTTTTATCAAATTTGAATTTTGTTGTGACTTTATAAAACATTTAATGTAGTTTCTGTATATGTAAATTTTATTTACTATAAATAATTTTATTATTTACAGGGATGAGTTAACTTTATGGCCAATCAAGCATCGTAAACCGCATGTGAACCTTTACCTGACATGGAGGGAGTATCAGTTTATTAGCTATATATACCAAACAGTAACTATTTGAAGTGAATTGAATGATCAACATATAAAAATGGTGCAGGTGTTCCTTTTCTTTAACTAAATGGGTTAAAATGAAGAGAAAGAACACTTATTCCCTCATCTATTAGATATTACTACCTCCGTCTCCCTAATATTGGGACGGAAGGAATGGTGTGGTTTTTAAGAAAAGTAGAACTGTGTGGTTGATAATGAGTTGATAAAGTGAAAATAAAGTAAGAATGAATTAGAGTTATACAAATGTTACCAAATATGGTATGAGACAATAATAGGGGGACATCCAAAAATGAAAATATGGGACAATTATAGGGAGACGGAGGGGTACTATTTTCACTTATTAAAATACATTTTACATACATTATATATATATAACCAATTTACCAATTTCAGCCACAAGATCAATGAGTTCAGCTCATTCAGTCATTTCAATAAAACTCACCTTTACCAAACAAGCTCTTAGACATACTTATACTAAACGCTAAAACAAGAGACTGAAACAAGACTCGTTTGAAAATTTTAAATCAATATTTGAAAAAAGTCTCTTTTCTTAAAGTGTGAATGGACTTTTCATTTGTCATTATGTTGAAACAGATGATACTGTCACGATTAATGACAATGGATTCTACATGATTGAGAACAGAATGTGTGCATACTTTTATTTATATGTTTAGTGAAAATGAAAAAAATGAGTGAAGAAAGGAATGACCTCCCAGGTTTTATCAAGGGAAGCATTGCTGTCAATGAATACAGCTCCAATTGTTGATTCAACCACATCAGCAAGGACCTTTGGGGCAGCAATAAGTCCATGTGAGTGTAAAGGGTAATTTGGAAGAGCATCAATAAATATACCGATCTGGGATTCACAAAGTTAATTGCACGTTATTTATAAGTAAATAAAAAAGACTGTGCAGAGGATTAATCACCAACGCGTGCAGTAATTTAGATGGCTATACAAGGACACAAGGTTAATGAGTGTTGTCGTCTAGTCAATGTTCTAAATACAGAACAGACATTGTGAATCTCCATAAAAAGTTCAACTATTCAAGTAATCATTCCTCCCACAGGGAGAACATAGCAGGGCAGAATTATATGTATATTAGGGTCAGTTTGGAAGGAAGGTTTTGAGTGAAAAGCTTTGGACGGCTTCATCTATGTCTTGGTATATAGAATGTTTCTAAAAATGAATAGAAGGTTTATCGAGTTATATTAAAATTCTAAACAAGTCCACTTAATTATGAAATTGCTACCACATTTTCACCACTTCTTTAGCATTGTTACTTTGTTTGAACTTTAAAGTCATTAAATCGAGTTGTCAAAAAACAATCTTAAATCTAATGCACTAGATTCATTCTCATGTCTTATATTAAAACTTCTTATTTGATCTGCGCAAAACCCTCCACTGGTCTGTAAATGATGATTGACTGATTGATAAATGACAGAATAGATATAATGCTGCTGCTTTGCTACATACAGAGGAATACATCATATAATATGGAGTACTTTACAGAACAAATACAAAAAGTCAAAAACTATTAAGAAACTGGGGGGGAGGGGGGACTTACTCGTTTCCTTAGAGTAGGCTGATTATGGCGTAGGAATTTGTGGAACTTATGTCTTACAGCAACGCGAGCAAGCTTCTCTGTGTCAACATTGGCAGCACGTAAAGGTGACAACAACCCAGGGGGAAGCTCGGGGTACATTGAATACTGGTGTTTAGTGATCATTAAGTTCAGTACAGAATCACCCACATACTCAAGCCGTTCATATGATTCACATTTATGAGAATTATATGAAGAATGTATGAATGCTTGACATAACAAGCTCTGTTCTTTGAAAGTGTACCCTATAATCTTCTCTACTTCTTCAATGTTTGGCATTGGCTCATCAATCCTCTTTTCTTCTCCTTCCTCCTCAGTTGATTCTTCGAGTTCCCATTGGTTTCCTCTAGCACCCAGGAAACCATTGAAAATTGAACCTAGCCAAGAAAGAATCACATCCAAACAATTGTTTAGATCGAAGAAGATACAATCTTACTAACACAGATCGTTTTGTTTTCCAATACAACCAAGATGTAGACAATGCCTTCACTCTCATCCCCCTGAATCACTATAATTACTGTATTCATTTTCTTGACTCTTACGAGAACTGGATTGCTAGATTGAGCTTTTCAAGTGCAATATGGCAGAATGAGATTAAACTACAGAAAGCAGAATAATGCATCTGCTTCTTTCCCATTCTCATAAATAGTTATAATTGAGGGTTCAAAAACATGGGAGTCAGACGGTGTTAAGTAAAACTCAATTTTACCCTAACTCAATCTGCCATAATCGCGGAGATAAGATTACTCGAAGCTAACCATGAGAGGCGAGCCACTTCTTAGCTGGAAACCACCAAGATTGTAAGCTTCGTTTTGGAGAAGAAGACATCCTCAAATTTTTTGTTGCCGTGCTCGAAAGAACCCGGCTGTTGGCCGAACAAAAACTGTACGGACACATTTGGTGTTTAATTTTTATGGGCCAAGCCCATCATGTGGTACTGTTACTAATTGCCCATAATGTACGTGGACTCAAATCAAGTTGGAAACAAGAAGCAAGTAAGAATTAGAAATGAAACTAGGGGTGGGAAAAACTGAACCGAAACCCGGAAACCGAACTTGGCCCAGCTTGAATTAATATCCCGGTCCGGGTTTTTCCTTTTTAACCAACCCAAATAAAAAAAACCGAATCAAACCCGAAATTTTGTGCTCATTAATGAGCCCTAAAATCTATAATCCGGCTCAGACCTGATAAAAATCTGAAACAATTAGTTTTAATATAAAATCAATATAATATACGAATATAATTTATAAACGTTTCATAATATATGATTGTAATTATGATGGATGAAAAAATGACTTAGAAACTTTTAGTGACTATAAATATGTACAATTTGTTTACCGTAATGACCATGAAAATATATTTATAGTAACTTTAGTCACATTTTTATCCAAAAGTTTTATTTCGAAATATTTTTAGAAAACCTATATTATTTATTTATTTATATGCATATTTAACCAACTATTAAGATAATTATCTTCTTTGGATTTGAATTGTTGATGATTTTGGAGACTAATGTTTGTGTTATTATTTGCTATTTGTATTTTTGATTAATTTTATTTGAAAATAGGTTTTAAAATATAAATGGACAATGAAATATTTCACGTTCGAACTTTAACCGGCCCAACCTAAACCCGGATCGAACCCGGGCTACAAAACCCGACTCGGACCGAATATAATGTGCCTTGTTCTGGTCCCTAATTTTCATAATCCGAAACCTTGTGGGTAAATTTTGAGTTTAACAAAAACCCGACGCGAACCGGACCGATTCCACCCCTAAATACAATCATCATAACCATACTAATGTCATATATATTGACTTAATGCCATTGTTCGATTGTGTTATTTCCTTACCTTATTTCATTTCTAATTTCTTTTCATTGAAATGAACTTAATTTTTGTATCTTATCTTAATGATGGTCATGTGTACAAGGAAGCATATGTTGTACTTGTATACTAACCTATAAATTTATAGCCACACTTGTTGATTCTCCAGAGGAGCACTATAAATGTAAATTTTAGAGAGAATTTGATTATGTTCCTTTTCTGGGTAAAATTTTAGAGAGAATTTGATTAAATGTTTATTTCAAAAGAATTAATGTATATAGTTTAGATATTTTTAAAAAAATGATGAGGTGTAATCATTTCTCTCTTTTTAACAAATTGCATGCAGACATTTGCATTTTTGAAAATGTGATGTAGTTAGATTTCATTTTCTAAAAAGTGATGTTGCGTCCAAGAAGTTCTACTGAATTTGATTAGTTCATCTTCTTTGTAAATGGCTCCATAACATTAAAATTGATTGAATTTGTTAAAATTTATGCAATTCTTGATGAAGCAGTCGATTGCCTAAGTCTGCAAAAGTATTAAAAGAATAAATATATATTTTATCAATAAAATAAATGACAATTATATACGACTATGGAAGATAATTAAAATAGCCTTTTAAGCAATTTTAGTCATAATTTTGTTTGCACTTTTTTGTTATGAAGCCTTAATCTTAATCAGAGAGTGACCTTATTGACGATCGGTTGTTAGCTATTAATGGTTATGACAACTGATTGTCAATAGCTGGTTGAGTCAACTATTTAAGTTGGCAATCCGTCTTTCAGTCCATTTCCCGCTGACATCGTTGGAGTTCGCTGCCGCTGCTGGACTCTACTGCCTCCATCGTTGGAGTTCGCCGCAGCTGCCGGCCGCCACCGCAGACTAATCTCACCACCAACTGACTGATTTGATTATGCAAAGAAATTAAACTATGGACAATTAACTGAGGTTAAATATGGAATGATCAGCCCTATTTAGAAAAAATCAAACATAAGATTTTTTTGGAAGAAGGGTATGTTTTAGTAGTACTAAAGGCAATTTTCTCTTCAACGTGTTGTTAGCGTTCTTGATTAGGTTGTGAGGTTACAATTCCAGTCTGGTTGAGTATCAAAGGTTCCGATTGTTTGTTTCTTGGAGAAGGTTTGGAACTGTATTCGCCCCTCGTTTACTAACCATTCTTTCACATACTGAATGGAGCATTATAAACTGCACAAGGATATGGGAATTCAATTTAACGTTATAAGTTGTTCCACCTCCTTCTATTTATAGAAAAAGTTGTGTTTGCACGCTGTCTATGGAATTTTCTATTTTAAGTATTAAAGTGTAGGCAAATCTAGCAACAAAAAGGAATATATTAGAAGAAACAAAACTAATCATAATAAGTTTTCACTCATTAAAAACCTATTTGATAATACTGAGTAAATTGTAGATCTAATCTGATGTATGTGCCAGTTTTTTAACTAATATATTTATGCTACAATATTATATAAAAATACTATTGTGCATAAAAATGTGAACTCAATTCAGAATATGACGGAATAAAGAAAAATGACACAAATAATTCCCGAGTCATTTGGAAATAGTTCCTTTGTGTTTTAGTAATAAGTAAAATCGTTGGTGGGTGCTTTTTCGGCATCCAAATAATATTGTTGCTGTTGTATAACATGTTTCTGGGACATCCAAAAAAGTAAAGTGAGAAGTTCATCGCGGGGGGAATACTAGGCTACTAGGTACAACTTCTTTAATATCCTCAAAGGGAGAGAAGCCCAAAGCTGAGATGGGAAACGAACAGAGACTTTTGCTGAGATCGAAAGGGGGGTGGGACCCATAAAGTATGTGGTAGCTGCATGGAGTAATTGCTATTTACACCCTCATTTAAACCTCCGTCCCTACCCATGGCCAAAATCTTCCTGTACTTTTCTTAATCCAGCTCATTTCCCCTAATTCTTCAACTCCTCCGTACCAGCGACAAAATCACGCCCGGAGATCAATTTCAAAATTAAACCATCTTTTTTTTTCTTCATTTTTATAGGCATTTTATTGAATGCATGCCAAAATTTTCTTTATATTCAAAATGCATCCACCACGTGCCAATTTTTTATTCTCTAAATAAGGATCATTTCTGTCAAGTTTGAAAAAACAGTTATGTTTAAAAGTTTAGTAATGTCAAATTTGACAGAAATTACTCTTAATTAGAAAATAAAAACATGACAATCATACGGAGTATTTTGGAATTTCAAAATCATTTTACACCTATTTAGAGAATTTTCCTATTTTTTCTTAAAATTTTAGCATTGTTCTTTAATTTTCCCATTTTTATCGTCCTATCACGATTTATTTAAATCTAAGGGAAAATTCCCGAAATAGAAGTAAAAAAGTTTGAAAATTCCAAAATAGGACTGTCATATTTTTATTCTCAAAATAAGAATAATTACTGTCAAGTTTCGAAATTACTGTCCTGTTTAAAGTCTGGTACTACCAAAATATGACAGTAAATAGTCTTATTTTGGGAATAAAAACAATTCTATTTTGAAATATACAAACGTGTTTAGTCCTATTTTGGATAATTTCTCTAAATCTGAGTGTAATAACCCTCTTTAATCTACTCGTCTGAATTTGTAGATACGCCACTATTCATGAGTACTCAAACGAAGCGCCTCTGTTTGACGTTTTTCCACTAGTGAGTTATTAAGTTATACTGATGGTCCAGAAAGCCTTCTCTTATAGTGAAATAAAGGGTCGGTCGTAGCATTGACTTTCCTAATTCTTAGTCAACATTCAATGAATCTAAGCACTTCATGTATGTTTCAAATATGAATCAAATTTGAACTTTGCAATCCCAAAATATTAGAAAAATAATAATCCTCAACCACAAAAACCATTTTCAGCTATCCTTTTTTAAAATTCGATCATAAATGCATATTTGTTGAATCTCTTGCATTCTTGATTCTTAATTATTTCTATCTTACAAGAAAATACAAATTAAAGACATCAATCTAAATACATAAAACATTAGACTATCACATTAATCATATCCATCCACAATTCTTAACTATATAAAAAAGTAATGCTACTGGAGAAACCTAAAAAAACAGCACGCATGAATGCATGATAAAACAATACATCGTACGGGTATATATATCAATAAAGAAAAATGAGCTGAGATATATAATTAAAAACAAAAAAATTAAATAAGAGAAGAGAAATCATTGTTTAATCATAAGCTTCTGTACAAGTACAACCTACTGGTGAACTAAAATTTAATCCTCAATCTCGGATTAAATTTTGAGCCACCAGCCCAGTACTTAATTAATCACCATCGCAATTAATTAATCAAGATATGCGGGCGTTAAAAATAATAAACAACATTTAGTTAATTAACTTATATAGAAAAGAAAACTAATTAAGCTTCTTAGTGTGAAATGAAAATGAAATGAATATATTTTCCTAGCTAGCTAGCTAATTAATTAAGCGTACTCGCCGGCTATCTCTTGTTGTGGAGTGGATTGGAGCCGGTGGGGACTCTCCTCTTGTCGGCTTCGGAATCTAGAGCGGCGGCCGGGGAGGCGGCGTGAGGCCGGAAAAGTTGCTCCGTTCGGGGGGAGGGCCCGGAGAAAGCTGCCGACGGGCGGGAGGCGTGAACGGTTGACGGGGAGGAGGCAGCCAGTAAGAGAAGAGCAATGAGAAAAGATGAGGCGATGTGAAAGGGATGCATCATGGCCGGCCGGCCGGCCAGGTTTCGTCTGGGATGAAAGAAAGAAAGAATGATAGATGTGATGAGAGAATATTGTTATGGTTCGTTTGAGTGGGACGGGATAATAACAGCAAGCTAGGAGCTAATAAGGATAATACCTAGCTGGCTAGCTAGGGCAAACAGGTCATATACTCATACTCGCTCCGTCCCTAAAAGGATTTCCAAGTTTGACCGACACGTAGAATAATAAAATAAAAATTATGTTGTAGAGATTTGTGCAGAGGAGAGAGAAATAACAGGAGTCACAAATTGATTGATTAAAAAGGAAAGTGACAAAGTTTTTGGGACAACCAAAAAAAGGAAAGTTGGCAAAGTTATAAGG